CAACAGAGTCAGCCCACTAGTGATGCTGCTGTAAGGAGCTTGGCTGGGTTAGAGTACCTTTCCTGCTGGGCTTGGGCCTTAGTCTAGTACATATGTTGGGGTTCCAGCCCCTCTGTCCATGGTTTGGTGACCAATCCTCCCGAGTTGCCTGAAGTTCAGCCTTGGGAAACCTGGTATGATTGGTCACCCTATCAAGACAGTTGATCCAGAGCAGATGGAGAAGGTGTGAGACCTGGAAAATAGCTGGATTCCCATAAACTCTCCCAGTTTGCTGGACTGATGAGCCAGGCTGGGCATCAACTCGATCCTTCCTTCTAGGTTCCCAGCCAAAGCCTAGTTAAACTGAAGTCAAGGGCGACACCTAGAGTCTGTGTGAAAAACTGTAGGCTGGTAACCACCCACCTGGCCCTTGAGGCCTCAGTTGGTTAGTTAGTTCGTTTCAGTTCAGTTCAATTCAGTCGCTTGTCGTGTCTGACTCTGCAACCCCATGGACTGCAGCACGCCAGGCCTCCCTGTCCATCACTAACTCCTGGAGTTCACTCAAACTCATGTCCATGGAGTCGGTGATGCCATCCAACCATCTTATCCCTCTGTGGTCCCCTTCTCCTCCTGCCTTCAATCTTTCCCAGCATCAGGGTCTTTTCCAATGAGTCAGCTCTTCACATCAGGTGGCCAAAGCATTGGAGTTTCAGCATCAGTCTTTCCAATGAATATTCAGGACCGATTTCCTTTAGAATGGACTGTTTGGATCTCCTTGCTGTCCAAGGGACTGTCAAGAGTCTTCTCCAACCCCACAGTTCAAAAGTATCAATTCTTCAGCACTTAGCTTTCTTTATAGTACAACTCTCACATCAATACATGACTATTGGAAAAACCATAGCTTCGACTAGATGGAAATCTGTTGACAAAGTAATGTCTCTGCTTTTTAATATGCTGTCTAGGTTGGTCATAACTTTCCTTCCAAGGAGGAAGCGTCTTTTAATTTCATGGCTGCAATCACCATCTGCAGTGATTTTGGGGCCCCCAAAAATAGTCTGTCACTGTTTCCACGGTTTCCCCATCTATTTGCCATGAAGTGATGGGGCCAGATGCCATGATCTTAGTTTTCTGAATGTTGAGTTTTAAGCCAACTTTTTCACTCTCCTTTCACTTTCATCAAGAGGCTCTTTAATTCTTATTCGTTTTCTGCCATAAGGGTGGTGTCATCTGCATACCTGAGGTTATTGGTATTTCTCCCGGCAATCTGGATTCCAGCTTGTGCTTCATCCAGTCCAGCATTTCTCATGATTTACTCTGCATAGAAGTTAAATAAGTAGGGTGACAATATACAGCCTTGACATACTCCTTTCCCAATTTGGAACTAGTCTGTTGTTCCATGTCCAGTTCTAACCGTTGCTTCCTGACCTGCATACAGATTTCCCAGGAGGCAGGTCAGGTGGTCTGGTATTCCCATCTCTTGAAGAATTTTCCAGTGTGTTGTGATACACACAGTCAAAGGCTTTGACATAGTCAATAAAGCAGATGTTTTTCTGGAACTCTCTTGCTTTTTTGATGATCCAGCAGATGTTGGCAATTTGATCTCTGGTTCCTCTGCCTTTTGTAAATCCAGCTTGAACATCTGGAAGTTCACGGTTCACGTACTGGTGAAGCCTGGCTTGGAGAATTTTGAACATTACTTTGCTAGCGTGTTAGATGAGTGCAATTGTGCGGTAGTTTGAGCATTCTTTGGCATTGCCTTTCTTTGGGACAGGAATGAAAATGGACCTTTTCCACTCCTGTAGCCACTGCTGAGTTTTCCAAATTTTCTGGCATATTGAGTGCAGCGCAGCACTTTCACAGCATCATCTTTTTAGGATTTGAAATTAGTTAGTTTAGTAAATATTTATTAATGAGCTCTCATCACGTGCCAACCCTTGTATTAGGCTCTAGGCATAAGTCCCGGGGGTCTTGGAAGACATACTCAAACAAGTTAAATTTCTGCTGAGACCTGAGGTTGGAGAAGGAAATGGCAACCCACTCCAGTATTCCTACCTGGAGAACCCCATGGACAGAGGAGCCTGACGGGCTCCAGTCCATGGGGTTGCAAGAGTTGGACACAACTTATCGACTAAACCACCACCACCACCTATTAAGGTATTTGCTAGGTCAAGGCAGGAGGGAAAGAGTATTCCAGGCAGGAAGAAATAGCAAAGACAAAAACTCTGAGTGGGAAGGAGCACAAAACATTCAAGAAGCTAATTACAGTATGAAGGAGGGAGTCAGTGATGACAACAGCATTTGGGAGGGTTAATAGGGCCAAAATTTTAAAAAAACAGTGGATTTTTGTCTTTCAGGGTTTTTTTTTTGGGGGGGGGGTCTTTACCCTAAGTGCAATCAGGCCTTAGTGAAGGGTTTTAAGTAGGACTGTAACATAATAGGGCTTCCCCAGCGGCTCAGTGGTAAAAAACACGCCTGTAATACAGAAGGTGCGGGTTCGATCCCTCATGATTCAAGGAAGGTCCTGAGTCCCACAACTAAGACCCTCTGCGGCCAAATAAATTTGTTAATGTGGTGTGTGTGTATATATATGTATATGTATATATACACAATGGAATATTAGTCAGCCATAAAAAGAATGAAATATTGCCACTTGCAGCAACATGAATGAACCTAGAGAATATCACACAAGGTGAAGTAAGTTAGAAGAGAAAGACAGATATTATATATCACTTATATGTGAAATCTTGAAAAATACAAAACAGAAACAGACTCACAGACATAGAAAACAAACTTATGGTTACCAAAGGCAAAGGGGATGGGCGGGAGAAGGAAAATAATCTGGAAAAACTGAATCACCCTGCTATACACTTGAAACTAGCACAACATTGTAAGTCAACTTTACTTTTAGAAAACTTATTTTTACAAGTTTGGCTCTGAAAGGGAGGAGAATTATACAAAAATAGTTGTAGAAGTAAGCAGGATAGAAGAGAAAGGAACAGTTTGGGTTTTTTTGTTTCTTTTTTTTTTAAGATGAGAGACAGACCAGTAGAGGGGGACCAGTGGCAAAATAGATGACACATTTGACTGCAAAATGGAAGATTCTAGATGAGAGAGAACTACTGATGTCTAAAGAGGGAAAGAGAGAAGATATATAGGAGAGAGGGAAATCAGTAAAGCAAGTTCACTGATTTTACAGGGATTTCCAACTGTGCAGGAATTGTCACCCCAACCCTACCCTTTTCTTCACCACCTGTGTTGTTCATGCATGAATGCCAAGTCGCTTCAGTTGTGTCTGACTCTGTGTGACCCTATGGACTGTATCCCACCAGGCTCCTCTGTCCATGGGATTCTCCAAGCACGAGTACTGGAATGGGTTGCCAGTATCATATCAGTATCACTGATGATGTGAGTGCTGGTGGGATCCAGTGCCCTGGTTAGTCTTACCAAGGTGGTTTTCTTCTTTCTTCCTTCAAAATGACAGGGGGAGGAGAGGGTGATATCAGCAGGTCTTCAGAGCCTGGCCCTAGGGCTATGGAAATGAAAACACATTCCCCGACTCCCACCCTCCCAGGAAGCTCCCAATCTAGGGGTTTAATTAGTTGACCCCTGAACAACACAGGGCTTCCCAGGTGGCACTAGTGGTAAAGAAGTTGCCTGACAATTCAGAAGACATAAGAGTCACAGGTTCAATCCCTGGGTCAGGAAGATCCCCTGGAGGAGGGCGTGGCAACCCAATCTAGTATTCTTGCCTGGAGAATCCCATGGACGGAGGAGCCTGGTGGGCTATAGTCCATAGGGTCACACAGAGTTGGACACAACTGAAGCGACTTAGCATGCATGCATGAACAACACAAGTGGTAAAGAAAAGGATAGGGTTGGGGTGACAATCCCTGCACAGTTGGAAGTCCCTGTAAAATCTGCATATAACTTTATAGTCACACCCCCCATATCTGCTGTTCCACATCCTCAGATTCAACATACCATGGATGATGTACTAATACAGTATGTATTTATATATAGTATGTATAGTATGATGCCAAAACCATCCCAAAGAAAAAGAAATGCAAGAAGGCAAAATGATTGTCTGAGGAGGTCTTACAAATAGCTGAGAAGAGAAAGGGAAAGGAAAGCGAAAGCAAAAGATATACTCAACTGCAGAATTCCAAAGAATAACAAGGAGAAATAAGAAAGTCTTCTTAAGTAAACAATGCAAAGAAATAGAGGAAAACAAAAGAATGGGAAAGACTAGAAAACTCTTCAAGAAAATTAGAGATACCAATGAAACATTTCATGCAAAGATGGGCACAATAAAGGAAAGAAATGGTAAGGACCTAACAGAAGCAGAAGAGACTTAGAAGAGGTGGCAAGAATACACAGAACTTTACCAAAAAAGGTCTTAATGACTCATCTAACCATGATGGTGTAATAATCACTCACCTAGAGCCAGATATCCTGGAGTGTGAAGTCAAGTGGACTTTAGGAAGTATCACTATGAAGAAAGCTAGTGGAAGTGATGAAATTCCAGTTGAGCTATTTCAAATCCTAAACAATGATGCTGTTAAAGTGCTGCACTCAATATGCCAGCAAATTCAGAAAACTCAGCAGTGGCCAGAGGACTGGAAAAGGTCAGTGTTCATTCCAATCCCAAAGAAAGGCAATGCCAAAGAATGTTTAAACCGCACAGTTCTGTTCATTTCACATGCTAGCAAGATAATGCTCCAAATCCTTCAAGCTAGGTTTCAACAGCACATAAATTGAGAACGTCCAGATGTACAAGCTGAGTTTAGAAAAGACAGAGGAGGCCGCCGTTGATCCGGTGCTGCAGTGAGGAGGAAGAGCAACCGAGGTTTCAATCTGCGGCTGACAAACGGGCTCATCACAATGCACTGGAACGGAAACGTAGGGACCACATCAAAGACAGCTTTCACAGTTTGCGGGACTCGGTCCCATCACTCCAAGGAGAGAAGCAACAGGCATCCCGGGCCCAAATCCTAGACAAAGCCACAGAGTATATCCAGTATATGCGAAGGAAAAACCACACACACCAGCAAGATATTGATGACCTCAAGCGGCAGAATGCTCTCCTGGAGCAGCAAGTCCGTGCACTGGAGAAGGCGAGGTCGAGTGCCCAACTGCAGACCAACTACCCCTCCTCAGACAGCAGCCTCTACACCAACGCCAAGGGCAGCACCATCTCTGCCTTCGATGGGGGCTCGGACTCCAGCTTGGAGTCGGAGTCCGAAGAGCCCCAAAGCAGGAAGAAGCTCCGGATGGAGGCCAGCTAAGCTCCGCGGGGCAGGCCAGCAATAAAAACTGTCTGTCTCCTCCGTCGTCTTATCCTCCTTTCAGTTCATCTTTAGAACCCTCAGAACCATTTAAGAGACTCTTTATTTTTTTTTCCCTCTTTCTCCTTTTTTTTTAAATTTTATTTTTATGTAGAAGCTCTTGGACAACAGCTCTCATTCTCCTTCCCCATTTCCACGTTTTTTTTGTTGTTTTTTTTTTTAAACGTTTCCCTTCAGGGATTCCCTGTCCCCACCAGGAATTTTTAAACCAAAACACCCCAACTTGGCAGCTTTTTCTGTGGAGGACAGACGGCCGGCCAGACCTCTGAGCACATGGTGTCCTGACCACCCACCAGCTCCTCCAGCCCTGCCGGGCACGTGCCCGGGGGACTCCTGCCCCACCCAGGCCTCTCCTTCCAGGCCATCCTCACCTCTGTTTGATAGACTTTGTGAATCTGTGGACTGCTCTACTTTCAGAAGATGACCAGTTTGGAGTAATCAGAATTATTCCCCCTTCTTTTTAAGGATTTTTTTTTCCCCCGCTAAAAGGCTATTTTTCGCTCCTATTGAAAGACCAGATCCTTGAAGAAGTTTGTGGTATAAAAGGAAATGGGGACAGATTTGCAGCGCAGAGTCTTGGCCTGTTTCACTCCTGCTTCTCTCAGCTAGCCTTAGGGAGGCCGTGTGATGCTTGTGTGGCGTGAGGGGACGGCAGCAGTGGAGCGGTAGCCGCCAGGGGGTGGTAGCGGGTGGGTGGGCCAAAGAGGGAGGATCGGGTGGGGTAGAGGTTTTGTATTGAGGGCCAGTGATGATGTTTTGATATTTATTTCCTGCTGCTGAAATTTGAACCTGAGTGAATTGTCCCTATTTCTGATGATGTCGGTATTGCAAAGCGACAGATTCATAAAGTAATGATCAAATCATCAAAAAAAAAAAAAAAAGACAGAGGAACCAGAGATCAAACTGCCAACATCCGTTGGATCATGGAAAAAGCAAGAGAATTCCAGAAAATATCTATTTCTGCTTCACTGACTATGCTAAAGCCTTTGACTGAGTGGATCACAACAAACTGTGGGAAATTCTTAAAGAGATAGGAATACCAGACAGACCACCTTACCTGCCTCCTAAGAAACCTGTATGCAGGACAAGAAGCAAGTTAGAACTGGACATGAACAACAGACAGGTTCCAAATTGGAAAAAGGGTATGTCAAGACTGTATCTTGTCACCCTACTTATTTAACTTATATGCAGAGTACATCATAGGAAATGCTGGGCTGAATGACTCACACACTGAAATCAAGATCACCCTAAGATATGCACATGATATCATCCTAAAGGCAGAAAGCAAAAAGGAACTAAAGAGCCTCTTGATGAAGGTGAAAGAGAAGAGTGCAAAAGCTGGTTTAAAATTCAGCATTCAAAAAACTAAGATCATGGCATCTGATCCCTTCACTTCATGGCAAACAGATGGGAGGGAAATGGAAACAGTGGCAGATTTTACTTTCCTGGACTCCAAAATCATGGCAGACAGTGACCGCAGCCATGAAATTAAAAGACGCTTGCTCCTTGGATGAAAGCTATGACAAATCTAGACAGTGTATTAAAAAGCAGAGACATCACTTTGCTGATAAAGTTTCATATACTCAAAGCTATGATTTTTCCAGTAGTCATGTATGGATGTGAGAATTGGACCATAAAGAAGACTGAGCATCGAAGAACTGATGCTTTTGAACTGTGGTGTCGGAAAAGACTCCTGAGAGTCCCTTGGACAGCAAGGAAATCAACCCTGGATGCTCATTGGAAGGACTGATGCTGAAGCTGAAGCTCCAATACTCTGGCCACTTGACTCATTGGAAAAGACTGAAGCTTGGAAAGATTGAAGGCAGGAGGAGAAGAGGACGACACAGGATGAGATGGTTAGATGGCATCACTGACTCAGAGGACATGAGTTTGAGCATACTCTGGGAGATGATGAAGGACAGGGAAGACTGGCGTTTTACAGTCTATGGTGTTGCATAGAGTCAGACACAACTTAGGGACTGAACAACAACAATATGTATTTACTGAAAAAAACCCTACATATGAGTGGGCCTGCATGTAAATTCAAACTCATGTTGTTCAAGGGTCAACTGTACTAACAACTGTCAATCAACTACATTTGCTCTCACCTCCCAGGCCTTTGCATAAGCTGTGTCCTCCACCTGGAGCACTTCACTCTCAACCTCCAACACATAAAGTTACCCCTCACCTTGTCAATTCCTACTTAAAATTCTGGTCTCAACTTCCCCTGGAAGCCTTCCCTAGACTTCCAGACAATGTTAGAAGCAACAGTTTCTTTGCTGGCCTCCCCATTCTGCCCTGGCGCCCCTCCAGCCTATTATCAACTCAGCAGCCTGTTAGGTTCAATGAAAATGCAGTCTGATCTGTCAGCCTTCATCTTAAACCCTCCAATGGCTTCCTATCTTGTTAGAAAGTAAAAGTGTTTTTTTTAAGTGAAAGTGTTAGTCACGAAGTCCTGTCAGACTGTCTGCAACCCCATGGCCTGTAGCCCGCCAGGCTCCTCTCTGTTCATGGGATTCTCCAGGCAAGAAGGCTAGAGTGGGTAGCCATTCCCTTCTCCAGGGCATCTTCCCTACCCAGGGATCAAACCTGTGTCTCCCACATTGCAGGCAGATTCTTAACCATCTGAGCCACCAAGGAAGCCCATCTTTACTCAGAGTAAAAGCCAAAGTCCTAACAGGCAACAAGCCACTTACTACCCCTCCTCCCTATCTTATTCCAGCTTCACTGGTCCTTTGTTCCAGCACACCAGTCCCATTCCTGCCTCTGGGCCTTTACGTTTGTTCCTCTTGCCCCGACACTTCCTTCAAGAATTAATTAAAAACTCACCAAACTCGGAATTCTGGCATGTTACAACATGGATGAAACTTAACAGGCATCATGCTAAATGAAATGAACAAAACACCCAGGGCCCAATTTCATTTACCAGAGGTACCTAGAATAGTCAAAATTATAATAGAGTCAGAAAAATAGAATAGTGTTTGCCAGCGGCTGGGGGGAGGGGCGAGTGGAGAATTATCTAATGTGTAGCGGTTCAGCTGTGGAAGAAGGGTTCTGTACTTGGAAGAGGTGCTGGTTGCACAGCACGAATGTACTCAATACCACTGAACTGTACCTTAAAAATGGAACATGGTAAATATGTGTATTTTACCACACACACACACACACACAAAGTCACCTTCTTTAAGGTATTCCAGGTCACTCCTTATAAAAAGTCAAGGACTCAAGGAGAACGCAATCACGTGGAAGAAAGGCAAGGGCAAAGCCAGAAAGGAGGAAGCTACAGAGAGAGCCTCCTTGAAGAGGTGGGGGCCCGGAAGAGGCGCCGCCAGAAAGACGGGACCTTCCGGGAGTGTGTTTCTGAGGAAGCGAGTTAAGTCCGGAGCTTGGGAGGGGCGGGGTCGGGGAAGGGCGGGGCGGGGCGGGGCGGAGAGGGGTGGGTGGGGCTTGAACGGTGAGAGCTCTGTATAGGAAGAGGCGAAAGTGGGAGGGGAAGCGGTGGGGGAAAGAGCTGGAAGCTGCTGAGGAACCGGATTTCCGCTTAGGCAGAGGGCGCCTTGGGTAGCCGGCTGCCTAGACTGACCCCTCCACGAATTCGACCTCTTGGCCCTCCACAGCCCCCGCCTTCACCTCTTCTGACCTTGTCGTTGTAGACGGCAGATGTGTTAGGCGTGGCGTCACCACCTCACCACTCGAACCGCGCGCCCTCGTGTACTACAGGCCGGTTTGTCCAGGTCTCCACCCTCAGTATCAGTAGCCCCAGCAGGAGTGCAATCCCTGCCAGGCTCCGAGGACCTGTCTTGGGAAACTTCTGCAGGGTCCTGATGCCAGGAGGACAGGACTCCTACCGTGGTCATGGCCAGCAGGGCTACAGGAATTAGAGTCTAGTTCTCTACTCCCAGCTGGTCTCCAAGTCCAGTCTATGCCGGGGCCAGAGTCAAGCACAGTGCCCTTGCAGGGCAGCGTGCCACAGTTAAGGTCACCCTTTTGTTTCAGACAGCCCTCACTTAGCCTCCAGAAATCTACCCTCTCCCAGGTCAAAAGTGATGGGCCAGGGGTCCTCCTTCTGTTCCCTTTGTCCATACCTGGGCCTTTGAGTGGAAATTCCTTCTCCTGGACCGAAGACCTGGAAGCTGCTCCCTTGGGGCCCTAATCATGAGGGCTGGGGCAGAACATCACCTTTTATGTATCAATCCTCTCAGAACCCTGTTCCCATGGTTCCTTCCCCTGGAATCCACAACCAAAGCCAGAACCCTCCCAGTTCCTTCCCAGTGCTCAGGCCTAGGAAGGAGTAGCCCTTTCACCCCACAATTGGGCCCAAGTTCACAGGCTAAAATTGGCATCTCTTGCCATATACTATCAGTTCAGTTCAGTTCAGTCTCTCAATCGTGTCCAACTCTTTGTGACCCCATGGACTGCAGCATGCCAGGCCTCCCTGTCCATTACCAACTCCCAGGTATTACTCAAACTTATGTCTATTGAGTTGGTGATGCCATCCAACCATCTTAATCCTCTGTCGTCCCCTTCTCTCACCTTCAATCTTTCCCAGCATCAGGATGTTTTCAAATAAGTCAGCTCTTCGCATCATGTGACCAAAGCATTGGAGTTTCAGCTTCAGCATCAGTCCTTCCAATGAACATTCAGGACTGATTTCCGTTAGGATGGATTGGTTGGATCTCCTGCAGTCCAAGGGACTCTCACTAGTCTTCTCCAACACCACAGTTCAAAAGCATCAATTCTTTGGCGCTCAGCTTTCTTTATAGTCCAACTCTCACATCCATACATGACTACTGGAAAAACCATAGCATTGACTAGATGGAAATTTGTTGACAAAGTAATGTCTCTGCTTTTTAATATGCTGTCAAGGTTGGTCATAACTTTCCTTCCAAAGAGTAAGCATCTTTTAATTTCATGGCTGCAGTCACCATCTGCAGTGATTTTGGAGCCCAAAAAAATAAAGTCTGACACTGTTTCCACTGTTTCTCCATTTGCCATGAAGTGATGGGACTGGATGCCATGATCTTAGTTTTCTGAATGTTGAGCTTTAAGCAAACTTTTTCACTCTCCTCTTTCACTTTCATCAAGAGGCTCTTTAGTTCTTCACTTTCTGCCATAAGGGTGGTGTCATCTGCATATCTGAGGTTATCGATATTTCTCCAGGCAATCTTGATTCCAGCTTGTGCTTCATCCATATACTATACCATATACTATTTCTTTTAATCATAACAATCCCATGAACTAGGCACTGTTGAAGGAGGAAACAGACAAAACAGGCTCCATCTTGAAAGCAGGACTCCATCTTGGGCCAGACTGTGGACTTTGAGCTATATGCCCAATATCTATGGAAACAACATACCAACTAGAAAACCAGGCCCCCCTGGATGGAAAAGCCCCAGGGCTCATACCTAGACTCTCTGTTGCCTAAAAGAATACCCTAATTATCTGTGTAACCGTATAGAATCATAAATTCTATTATGCTTGTTTGCGTATGACCACAGGCCTATTGATAATTGTCTACTGTTAACTACCTAGGCTTAAGGCATATGAATCACGGGTTAACTTTGATTGTATCTTTCTTTTCCTTTGTTCAGACTAGTTTCAGGGAATTTGGGGAGGTGGGTTTGGGCACGTACACTTCGGGTATATAAGGTTTTCAGAAAAACTGGTCAGGGTCCTTGGCTAAGAGGAGACTCTGCCTTGGGCCTACCGGTGTAATAAACTGCACTCCACTATCTGCATTGTCCTTCTGAGTCAGTTTGTTTCCCAGAATGCGTGGCTACAACACTATTATTATTCCTATTTTTACAGATGAAGAAACTAAGGCTCAGAGAAGTTAAGCAACTTGCCCAAAGTTATACCGGTGCTAGTCAGAATTGGAGGTGAATTTTAATACCAGGTCTCTATGGCTTCTGGAGCCCTTGTTCTCAAAATCACTGGTGTTCAGAGTAGCACAAAGTGCCTTCACCACTAATGACCAGCTTCTGGGTACTGACTTACTGACTGTAGGCCTGAACACTCAGCCAGGCCTTTTGCTAAGCCCTGTCTCTTCATTGCATCCTTCTTCCTCTTGCCAATGAAACTCAATAATAAGTTGTCACACCAGGCTGCCTGATAAAGGAATCTCTTTTGCAATGCCTCAGACCGTAGCACCCGTCCCACTATCTCCCCAACCTTACGCTCCATTGGTCGGTCCTCTAAGGGCTTGGCCCACGCTCCTCATTGAGCTTTTGCTTATGCCATTTGCCCTTCCTGGAATGCCCTTCCAATCCCTTCAAGAGCTACGGGTGAAGTTCCAGAAGACCCCTAATTTCCTCAACCCAGGGATCTCACACTGTTCTGAGTGGCAAGACCAGAAGTGCCTCCACTAAGCTTCTCTGGCCCAGAACCCAATCAAGAAACTGCAAAGAGCAGGGAGGGCTTGTTCAATCCTAAGGCTTTCCTGGTGGTTCAGCTGGTAAAGAATCCACCTGCAATTTGGATTCAATCCCTGGGTTGGGAAGATCCCCTGGAGAAGGAAACAGCTACCCACTCCAATATTCTGGCCTGGACAATTCCATGGACTATTCCATGGGATCACAAAGAGTTAGACACAACTGAGTGACTTTCACTTTTCTTTCAATAGAATCAGGAGGGTGAGAAAGGACACCCATGCAGCTGTTCCTTTCAGATCCTGAGCCACTGGTTTGTATTTTTTTTTCCCCCTCTAAATCTTGTTTGGGATAAGGAGGGTAAACCATATTGAGGGAGAAGTGGGGTTGAAAAAGGAGGTGCAACTGAGAGATTTCCCAAAAGACAGATGCTTGTAGGAGCTATATAAATGGTCTATAACATACATTTCTCTGCAGAAAGAGTGAAAATTTGTATCTTAAAAGCATTCTTTTTTTTTTTTTTTAAGTTTTAGGAACATTAGGACTTAAAAGCAAAATTCTCCAAATATTTTATACTAAAGCAGAGAAATTGCTAAGAAATTCCGTGCTTGTAGGGAGAAAATCCGGGCTCTTCCACCAACTAGAGCTGATTCTCTTTGCTCTGAGGTTGCCGCATGAATGGGAGCCCAGTGACTGGAATCTAGTGAAGGCAGCTATTGTGATCTCGAGAGTTGGGGGAAGGGAGAATCAGTGACAGAGGCCATGGGAGGGGGCAGTCCTATGTACCCCGTGTACCGTCTGCAACACAGGCTGAGCCAGAAGGTGGAGCAAGGCAGCCGCAGTCACTGGCTTCGCCCCCTCTCCCGCCCCTTCCCTGCTGTGCCTCCACGTCGTTCTCAAAAGCCGTGGCTCAGACTTGGTGGTCCCCAGACAGCTCCAGTTCGCGGTAGCTCGGCAACAGGAACTGCAGGCCCCCAAGGGGGTCCGTCTGTGGCCTCTGCCAGAAAAAGATCGAGGAAGGTGCTTTGCCGGCAAAATTGGACTCCACCGGCTTCGGGCGACAAGCCAGGGACTGAGAGTCTCGGAGTCCTGAACAAGTGAGTGTCCCCAGGGGAAGGACAGGCCAAGGTCGCCGTCCAGACCGCCATGGCCGCTCCCGTCCGCCGTCTGTGTCATATCGCCTTCCACGTGCCGGCGGGACTACCCTTCGCCCGGCATCTGCAGCGCTTCTTTGGCTTCCAGCCCTTGGCGGTGCGGGAAGCAGACGGCTGGAGGCAGCTGGTTCTGCGCAGCGGCGACGCTGTCTTTTTGGTGAACGAGGGCGCGGGGCTGGGAGAGCCGCTGTATGGCCTGGACCCGCATCATGGTATACCCAGCGCCACGAACCTGTGCTTCGACGTGGCCGACGTGGGCGCTGCCGCCCGGGCGCTGGCGGCACTGGGCTGCAGCGTGCCGGTGCCCCCTGTTGGCGTGCGAGATGAGCAGGGCGCTGCCACCTATGCCGTGGTCACCTCGCCGGCAGGCAACCTCAGTCTGACGCTGCTGGAGCGCACTGGCTTCAGTGGGCCCTTCCTGCCTGGCTTTAGCCCTGTGCCCTCTGCACCCGGACCCTGCTGGTTCAGCCACGTGGATCACCTGACCTTGGCCTGCAACCCCAGCAGCTCCCCAAAACTGATGCACTGGTTCCACGACTGTCTAGGCTTTCACCACCTACCACTGAGCCCAGGTGAGGATCCAGAGCTGGGCCTGGAGGTGGCAGCAGGGTCCGGGCTTGGCGGGCTGAGGCTCACTGCCCTGCAGGGCCCTGTTGGGAGCGCTGTCCCCACCCTTGTGCTGGCAGAGTCCCTGCCGAGGGCCACCAGCGGACAGGACCAGGTGGAGCAGTTCCTGGCCCGGAACAGGGGACCTGGATTGCAGCATGTGGGGCTGTACACACCCAGTATCAAGGAAGCCACTGAAGGGGTGGCAGGGGCTGGGGGTCAGCTTCTGACTCCTCCTGAGGCCTACTACCAGCAGCCAGGCAAGGTGGAGCAGATCCTGGCTGCAGGGCACGATCCTAACCTGCTGGCCCAACAGGGGGTCTTGATAGATGGTGACAGAGGCAAGTTTTTGCTTCAGGTCTTCACCAAGTCCCTGTTTGCAGAGGACACTTTCTTCCTGGAGCTGATCCAGAGGCAGGGGGCCACTGGCTTTGGCCAGGGCAACATTCGGGCCCTGTGGCAGTCTGTGCAGGAGCAAGCTGCCAGGGTCCAAGAAGCCTGCAAAGAGCCCAAGCTGGATGTAGCCGCCTGTCCTGGAGCATTCGAAAGTTCGGCTTAGGGCCTGCTGGAACTGAGGGACATTCACAGAGGCCTGGAGTAAAAGCTTTTGTCTTTAGGGGCTTCCATTTCATCAGTACCTGCCAGAAGTTGAAACTCTCACAGGGGTCCAGAGAGGTGGGATTTTTTTAACTGTGAAACATTTCTCATATTGTCTGTATCTAATATATATGTAAAGTATAAAGAATAGCAGAATTATATGATTAGGAAATAGAACTGGGATTTCTGAATCCTCCTTGTGTCTTTCTGACCTCATTTCTCTCCATCACACCTCCAATATTATGATTAAAAACCTGTTTTTCTCACCAGCCCAGGTTGGATGCATGAGACAAGTGCTCAGGGCTGGTGCACTGGGAAGACCCAGAGGGATGGGATGGGAAGGGAGGTGGGATCAGGATGGGGAACACATGTAAATCCATGCCTGATTCATGTCAATGTATGGCAAAAACCACTACAATATTGTAAAATAATTAGCCTCCAACTAATAAAAATAAATTGAAAAAAAAAAAACAACCCTGTTTTTCTGCATTGTGTCACTACATAATGTATCCCTAAACAAATGATCTAAATGGCAACCCACTCCAGCATTTTTGTCTAGAAAATTCCATGGATAGAGGAACCTAGTGGGCTACAGTCCATGGGGTCTCCAAAGAATCACTGAGCACAGGAGTCTAAGGCAAAATAAATTCTCCTGTGCTTTCCCTCTCCCTAGGGAGAAGCCACTGCAGGGAGGGGCTGAGTCAGGGCTAAGCCCAACCACCTGCTCTAGGGTGATAACGCAGCTCCAATCTGAGACCTGGCCAGAGAGTGCTGGATGTAAGCCACTGGCAGGAGCTCCCTGCAGCTGCCTTCTCCCCTTCTGGGGTTGGAGGAGGACAGATCACTCAGGACAGAACACCCCCCTCTTCCATCTGCCCAGGGCTGGCTAGGAGCTCAGAAGTCAGCACCAAACAGAGCTCTACTAACTTTCTGGGTCCCTCAGAGGTAAGGAGTGAAGGGGCTCAGGAGAGGGTGGGAAGTCTCCAGAATGACTACAAAAATAAGCATTTTATTAAACAGGATTCTCAGCGGGGTGGAGGATTCCAAAGGCATCACTGGGCTGCACTGTTGAGGCTGGGTGCATCAGTGGGGACCTGGGGCGGAAAGAAACTCTCCAGGACTTGCTGGCCTGGGCTGGGCTTTTTCCGTTTGGACAGGGTGGCCACCTGGGATCTTTTGGAACCCTGTGCAGAAGACAAAGGAAACACCGAGGTGACAGTAGAGTCTTCTCCTTCCACCCCGCCCCCCACACCACTGATCTAGCTCAGATTCTAGCCTTAATACTGTAAACCTTCCATCCTGTTTCCAGTATCTAACTCTTCAACCAACCAAGTCTTTAAAAGGCAGCCTGAGGCAGTCTTCCTAACATGCAAATCTGACTCCTCTCTCTACCCAAAATCCTTCAGGGCCTGGTGTTAACTGGCCTGGGCCAGTCCTGCTAACAACTCCAACTAATCCAACAGTTTACAGGTTGTACTGTACTTCACCGTGGCTCACACTACTCTTGGGCCAGGAAGAAACATCTTTACTGCTGATTCTCCTTCCAAACCTGGAGAAAATGATTTAGTTCTAGGACCTAGATTACCAGTTGCTTCTTCCAAGCATCCATTCCTGACTCTTGTCTCCTAGATAGAAATGACAGCTCCCCACTTCATATCCCACAAAACTGAGTACAAACATTTCACACACTGTGACACTACTTCCATCATTTGCTCCTGTCCCCTCTCTACCTGTAAGGTCTCCAGGTCAAGAACTATTCCTCTCGCCCCAGTGAACTCTGTCATGGAGACTGTTCACCCTAACATGCATCACTTAACTCACTGAAAACCTGTAGATTTGGCCCTGGGGAGAGATGGCTGGGTGAGGGCCAAAAGACTCACCTTGCAGGTGCCAGGCTGTTGGCCCTCATACATGCGGAACACCTAGACGAGACGAGGGAAGTGCAGGGCTGGCATCTTTCCCCCAAAGAGACAAACCTCTGTATTCTACCCTTAACTTCATGCCCCGGCACTTTTGTTTAAGATATGTTTTTCATTTGTTTACATAGTAATAGGTTTACTTAGAAAATGCAGGGAACATGAAAAAACACAACGAAGACAACAAAGGTAGTGCCTTTTTCATGGCGGTGGAGACGGCTGCAGTGTGAAAGTCCTCCCGGGTCAGCCAGCGAGCGCCAGGTGGTACAATGGTCACTGGGGTGTGTTCTTCCAGGGCCAGACCATATACTTGGTATGTCATCTTGATGTGAGAGAAGGTGTGGACCACCTAGGAGGTGCCAAGAGGCTGAAACAGACCCGGAGATGTGGCCACAGAAGCCATCATTCCTGGTCACTCCTCTCCTCACTCACCTGCCCCAGATGCTGAAGGTGGGTGTCCGGGAGGGACCCAACCCAACTCTGCAGTTCCTGCAGCAGGGCCTCCCGCTGATGCTGCCCTGAGGCTTCTGCATTCACATTCACGGATGGGAACTCCCACAGTCCTGCCAGCAGACCTGAGAGGGAGGGCAGCCAGGCATGGGTGGGGCCTTAGCTGCTGCTGCCTCCATTTCTTACCTGTTGCTCATGCCACCTCCCTGAACTCCCAGGATCCAAGTACCTGAGTTGGGCCTCTGCACCAGCAAAATGCAGGCACCCCCAAGGGCCTTGGGCTGCTCCAGAACACAGATGGCAGAGCACTCCTCCCTGGGGGGCTTGCGGCTGGCCTTTCTGGGAAAGTTGGTTACTCCCAGGGTCTGGTCCCAGGGCTCCGTGGGAGGCGCGCACAGCGGGCACTGTCCAGTGTTGGGAGCTGGGAAGAGAGATCCAAGAGCCTTGCTCAGGCCGAGTGGGCTCAGGTGCCAAGCCCAAAGAGCAGGCCTTTGCCCAGCTCTGTAGAATGACTCGGATGCAGGATGAAAGGGAACGAGGCTGCCACAGGCAGCTCCCTGACGGCACAGGGAAGGGCTGGGGCTGCCACTCACCACACTCCTCCACGTCACCACTGCCTGGCAGGCTCTGTGAGGCTGAGAGCTGCTCCCGCTCCACCTGAGAGGCACAGACAGGGCAGGATGCCATGGGGCAGGGGTCACTCCCGAGGACGCCTGACTGCCTCCCTTCCTCGGGTGGCTCACCCTCTGGCGTGCCCGGCACAGGCTCTGCACAGGACAGTGGCTGCAGAGTGGGCGCTGCGGGGTGCACACTATGGCCCCCAACTCCATGGCTGCTTGGTTAAAGTCTCCTGGCCGGGCTGGGTCCACCAGTTGCTGGGCTAGGTTCCTGCAAGAAGGGACCATTGCTCTGAGCCAAAGACCCTTGGAGACACCTTTTCTAATCTTCCTCTTTACCCCAGTATCCTACCAGAGGTGCTGGGAGACAAGACTGCTGCTGGGTTCAGCACCTATGGCTCGGACACGGCACAGCACCCGTATGATGTTCCCATCCACCACTCCGGCGGCCTGGCACAGAGGAGTCTGGGAGTCAGCCTGGTCTGGGAGGAAGGTAGGTGGGCATACCCAGTATGGGGGTGGGCGATGGGCTCACCTGGCCAAAGGCTATGGAAGCAATAGCTCCGGCTGTGTACCGCCCTACCCCAGGTAGGAACCGCTGCAGGGTCTCTGCTGTACGTGGCATGTGGCCCCCTAGCTCCTCTACCACCTGATTGGAATGGGAAGTTCATGGTTACGAGGCACCCAAGGTCCTGGGGCTCCCAGACCCCTCGTCAACCCCTTACCTTCTGGGCTCCTTCCTGTAGCCACCGGCCTCGAGAATAATAACCCAGGCCAGCCCAGAGCTGGTTAACTTCCTGTGCGTGGGATCAGAGGTCAGAGGGGTCAGGGATCGGTCCTCAGTAGGCCCCATTCCCCCTACCCTAGGGTGGTTCTCACCTCCAGGGAAGCACTGGCCAGGTCCTGCAGCGTTGGCCACTTCTACAGCCCGAAGGCAGACAAAAAGAAATGAGGCCAAAGGTGAAGGAAGCGGAGGAGGCCTTATTTTATCCCCACCCCCAAGGAGTCATCTGGGGTCTGGACCATGACTGACCCTTCCCCTTGTTCCCGGAAGTCACCTGCATCCATCGAGTATAATAGTTGATCACTGTGGCAACCTGGGTCTGCTGCAGCATGACCTCTGAGACCCACACTGGGGAAGAGGGGCCGGCATGAGGACACTGCTGACCACCCGACTCTTAGCCCACAGCTCCCAGACCCCAAACGAGGTGGTCTAGGCAAAGCAGCCCTGTTCCAAGGAGATGTACTCACCAGCGTATGCCCGCCTGTCTAGGTCCACCTCACCCTCCACCTGCCAATGCAATCCCAGATGGGCAGTTAGTGTGGAGGGGACTGGGCACCAGCCTCCTATTCCCCCCACCCCCCCACATCCATTGTCCTCCTACCAGCCTTCTCCAGGGTAGGTCCCGCTTCTTTCGGTCATACCAGCCCAGCAAGCTCTCCTGGAAGGCTGTGACCTCAGCCACATCTCTGAATAGATGGTACGGGGAGACAGAGGCCTGCAATAACGCCTTCTGCTGCCTGGACAGCCCTGCTGGGGTCTCAGAAAACTCAGGGATCGTCCCTGCACAGGATGTGCACCAGAGGCCTGGTTTCAGGCTGTCCACTTAAGGCTTCCCCCACCCCAACCCCTTGCTTGAGCTCAGACCAGGAGGCTCTAGGGTTTTGTAACCTAAGTCAAGTTTCTAGCCTTTATTTCCCCAAGGTGGTACCCCTGGCTCCTTTGTCTCTGGATCATAATGAAAACCCAAGTTTCTGCCAAACATAATATACACTTGTGGAGGGCCTTCCCATTCACAGAACACTTTTGGGTTGATAAATTTGTTGGATCCCATGAAAACCAAGTGAGGAAGGAAATGCACAGACTACTGCTCCATGTCACTGATAGAAAGCATCTATTCAGAGCAATTATCCTAAAGTCACAGAGCAAAGTCAGAATTAGATCCTTAATTAGTCCCTTAATGACTTGATACATACCATGCTTTCTTCCCAGTCTGAATTTGCCCCCTTTCACAGCCAATTAAACCAGCCCCTGAGCCTGATTAGGACCCAGATCCTCACCACTGGGGGCAGACAGCTTGGACTGGCTGCTGCTGAAGGCACATTTCTTCTTTCCCTCCTGGCTGGATGCCTCCTTCCTGCGACCACTTTGATTCCCCACAGCTGCTCGTGGCTTCTTCATGATCAGCTAGAACAGAATGGCCCAGCCAAAGTATGTCAGTCACCATGAGGCTGAATCTTAGGGTCCTGTAGAGGGTAAAGCTACCTCCCTCCCCACACCATTCATATAAAGTGTCTAGCTTTTCTCAAGCACTCCCCGGATGCTCACGGGCTTACCCTTGGCTGGCTGTGTTACTGAGGTATGACCAGTAGGGCTGAACTTCTGCAAGTGGCCTTAGTGGGACCAGCATTAGTGTACACCTGGAGACATAAATAAGAGGCCAGCGCTGGGCTGAGTCAAAGATCAAAGCCTCCTGTGCAGGAGCATCTGCATATCACTGGGAGCTCAGGTGTAAGAGGTTTATCTCCTTAGAGATGTAGCACATTTACACTCAAACAGCCTTTTTTTTTTTTTTAATTGGAAGCTAATTACTTTACAATATTGTAGTGGTTTTTGCCATACACTGACATGAATCAGCCATGGGTTGATTCCCCATCCTGTGTTCCCCATCCTGAACCCCCCTCCCACCTCCCTCCCCATCCCATCCCTCTGGGTCATCCCAGTGCACCAGCCCTGAGCACTTGTCTCATGCATCAAACCTGGACTGGCTATCTGTGAAACAGCTTTAGTAATCATCTAGTCTAAACCTTCATCCTATACAAAGGAGAAACTTCAGTGATGATTTTAAAAATAAAAGGCAAAGGGAAAAAAAAAACAGAGAAACTAAGGATCAGAGAGGGTAAAAGATTTGCCTGAGAGCAGATGGCAAGTTGGGAAGAGGGGGAAATGAGCTGTTTTTATTTCTAATCTTCTTCTGATTTAGTAAATCACAGCTGCCTATCCACTAGTAATGAGAAAACATCTGGTTGATCTTCGCTGCTCCCTAACTGTTCTGGCTTCTCATTTTACCTTTTATCTAACAGCTAAGTTAGTGAGTGTTATACATACCAGACCCAATGTAAATGCTTTACCAGATTTCTTACTCAGTCGCTTAACAATCTCATGAGGTATGTTCTAGGATTACCTCCATTTCAGTTATGAGGAAGTTGAGGCTTGTGATTAAGCAACTTTTTGATTCAAACTCCAAAGGTCTGTCTACAGAGCTATACCTGGCTATACTGCAGTCTCTGCTGAAACTCTGGCTCAAACTCTCTCCTCAAACTTTTGCTTCACACCTCATTTTCTTTTTTTTTTAATTGAAGGATAATTGCTTTACAGAATTTTGCTGTTCTCTGTCAAACCTCAACATGAATCAGCCATAGGTATACATATATCCCCCCCTTTTGAAACTCCCTTCCCGTCCCACCCCTCTAGGTTGATACAGAGCCCCTGTTTGAGTTTCCTGAGTCATACAGCAAATTCCTGCTGGCTATCTATTTTACATTTGGTAATGTAAGTTTCCATGTTACTCTTTCCATACATCTCACCCTCTCCTCCCCTCTCCCCATGTCCATAAGTCTATTCTCTATGTCTGATTCTCCACTGTTGCTCTGTAAATAAATTCTTCAGTACCATTTTTCTAGATTCCGTATATATGTGTTAGAATACAGTATTTATCTTTCTCTTTCTGACTCACTTCACTCTGTATAATAGGTTCTAGGTTCATCCATCTCATTAGAACTGACTCAAATGTGTTCCTTTTATGGCTGAGTAATATTCCATTGTGTATATATACCACAACTTCTTTATCCATTTATCTGTTGATGGACATCTAGGTTGCTTCCATGTTCTAGCTAGGCTTTCACACCTCATTTTCATCAAAAGAACTTGCTTCCGCCTTCAGAAAAAAGAACCAATGCATAAACTTCCCTCCATCTGCATTTTCCTTCTCCTTTATCCAATTATATGGAGGAATGTTCTCTCCTCCTCCTCCGATCCCATCCACAAGACACACCCACTTCCTAGCAAAACTTCCTTAGCCAAACTCACTGACTTCCATAATTACTTATGGAGTGCCTACTATGTGCCAAGCAGTTTTAGGTACTTGGAATACTTCAATAAATAAAATATCAAAGGTTTGGGCCTTCACAGAGTTTATGGGATTGACAAAAAATAATGCACAAAATCAGCCAATTATATAGGATGTTAGGTGATAAAAACTAGCATAAACAGTCAAAGTAGACTTGTGAAGGGGATAAGAAGTAAGTGAGCGTGGTAGAATGTTGCAATGTTAAAAGAACATGGTCAAGGTGGGCCTTGTTAGAGCAATGTTTGACCAATGACTTTAAGCAGTTAAAGGAGTTACCCATATGGATGACTGCCTGTGGGAAAGGCATCCTGAGAAGCTAGTACAAAGGCCCTAAGCAGGGTACCTGGTGTGTTTGTAGAATGAGGAAGTCAGTGTGTTTAGAAACTGAATAAGGAAGGGGTGAGCAGTAGGTGAGGTCAAAGAGGTAAAGAAAGGAAAAGTGAAAGTCACTCAGTCGGTTCCAACTTTGTGACTGTAGCCCTCCAGGCTCTTCTATCCATGAACTTCTCTAGGCAAGAATACTGAAGTTGGCTGCCATTTCAAACAAGGTGGGGGGAATAGGATTACAAAGTACCTTGTAGGCCACCAGAGGACTTTGGCTGTCACACCCATTGCTCTCAGGAGCCAATCCTCTTAATGTATCTTTGTAGAATACAAACAGCTCAACCTGCCTCATCCCCTCACCCACTGTGCTTCAGCCATGTTTGCCTGAAATAGTTGCTTCAATTCCCAAAGTGTCTGTCCACCTTGAGGCCTCACCCAGTTCATTTCCTCTGCTTGGACAGCTCTTCTGTTTTACCTAACGTTTATTCACTCATCAGGTCTTGACTTAAATGTCCAAATCAGATCCCCCAGTCTTACCCACTTCTGTACTTCTTTCTCCATTGTTGCTTTTATACCAATCATAATTTCATGTTTATTTGTGATTCTTTGATCAGTGTCTGCTTTCCCCACTTAACTGTAAAATTCCATGAAAGGAAACTTGGGTGTCTTTTGTTGACTGTTGTGCAGAGCACAGTGCCAGGCAAACTGCATAAAAAGTACCCCTTCTTTCCAGAATGGGAGAAATCCAAACAATTCAGAATGATGATGAAAAGAGTCAATAGAGAGAAAGGATGAACTGGAAACAGCAAATAATCAGAGAGAGAAAAGGTTCAGAGTCCTTGGTGGAAACCAGGGCTCTTGGGAAAGCTCTGGTCCACGGTAGGGACAACTCTCAGTAGCAGAAATCAAATCCAAAACCTCTCAGGAGTAACTGTAACTCCTAATTGCTTACAAGCTGTCACTGCTGGAGCCTAGTTCTAGTCATTATCACGCGCGTCTATTGTTTCAAAAGTGTCCCTGCTAGCGGTCGCTTTCACCCTCCGCAGCCTCATCTCCTGTCCCCCTCCCCGCTCCTTTCACTTGATGGAATGCAATGAGCTCTCCACCCTCCCTAGGAGCTTGCCATTTCCCAAATCTTTTTTTCCCCCACATTCTCTAGTCTGCATAACTTATACGCTTGCTTTAAGCTTAGCTCAGGTATCATCTCATCCTCTACAGACATAAAACCCCCAACCCCCACCCCTGGGCAGAGTCGATGAAGACAGCGAACGTAACGCGAAAGCCTGCGTTCCCGCCGGGTCGCACGGGAAGAAGGAATTACCTCCCGCGTGATTTCCCGCGCCAAACTCACCGACGAATCCCAGGGGGCGTGGCCCCGGCCAATTTTGGCGGCGAGTCGAACCACGCCGGCCAATACGCTTCCAGCGCGCGCCAGGCTGCCTCCTCCGCGCCAGACCCAGGCGATCTTAAAGGAAGTCCGACCGTTCGGCGATTCTTGGCGTGAGACCCCGCCCCATCTCCGACTGCAGGAACCGAGAGAGGAGACGAAGCGGAAGTCCCCCGTGCCCAGTGACTATACTGGCGAAGGACCCGCGGTGTCATGGCCGCCGACAGTGACGGTGGCGCAGCCTCAGCTCCCGCGGTCTCAGACGGTAAGTGGCTTTTCCAGGGGCCGTTTTCAAAGCCTGTGCGCTCCGCGGTAGCGGAGACCCTCGGACTCGTAGTTCTAAGAAGCAGGCCTCAAGTTTCAGAGGACTAGCGCCTTCCTTTTGAATCAGCCACGAGGAGACTACATGTCCCGGTGTGCACCGCGGTCCCGCCTCCAAAAGCCTGGAGTGTTGGGAGGATAGTTAGGACTCTTGGGGGCATGTCGGGAGATGTAGTCTGGAGTTTGTAGCTCTGTTAATTGGGGGAGGTTGGGAGTTGTGGTCCACAGGAAGTGGGACGGATTGGGGCGTTATTTATTAGGATCTGGCTCATACTGGCTACTGCCACTTGTGGCTATGAGGAACCGTGGGAACGGTTACAGAGCGTTGTGGGATTTTAAAGGGCCTGAAGTCCTCAAGCCTTACAAAATATTTCCTGCAGGATATAGGGAAAAGAAACCTCAACAGATTATCTAGTTCAGCCTTCCTCTTTTACAGGTTTTGATGCTAAGGGGAAAATTTTTCCCAGAATTTTACATCAGCCACTGGAAGACCCAAGCTTTCTCTCCCCAAATTCAGGGCATTGTTCACTCCAATCTTGTGTATAAAGCATATGCAATATAACGCTTGACGGGGAAGCTGCCCCTACCGCCAACCATGGTCTAGTTTGGTGTCTGTCCCCTTGGGCTCTTTCCTGAGTGTTAATATCTATCACCCTTCTTATCTCCAGATGGTGTCAGCCAAAGCACAAAATCTGGGGAGGAGCTAGTAGTCCAGGTTCCCGTGGTGGATGTGCAAAGTGACAACTTCAAGGAGATGTGGCCATCCCTCCTCCTGGCTATAAAGACGGCTAACTTTGTGGCTGTGGACACGGTAAGAGCTGGGGAACTGGGAGAGCAGGTGGTGGTGAAAGGGCTGGTACTGCAGAACCTAACACAGCTCTCCCTTTACTGATCCACAGGAACTGAGTGGGCTTGGGGACAGGAAGTGTTTGCTGAACCAGTAAGTATAAGCCCTGATCTCTTTAGTCCTAGCCTTGCCAGGAAGGGCAGACCTCAACCCTGGAGTGGAGGTCACAGTCCTGGGTGGTTTGGGTCTTTCATGAAGCTAACTCCCAGCCACAGCCACCCCCAAACCCAACCCCAAGGTGCATCGAGGAACGTTACAAGGCCGTGTGTCATGCTGCCAGGACCCGTTCCATCCTCTCCCTGGGCCTCGCCTGCTTCAAGCAGCAGCCAGACAAGGTATGGGTTACTCTCACCCCCATCCCAGGTCTGTGGCTAGGGAAGGAGGGATTGAGATACTGAGGAATATCAGCTATGGGGTTTTTTTCTCCTAAGGCTGGATGTTGCAGAATCTCTTCTTCTCCCAGGGTGAACACTCATACCTGGCCCAAGTGTTCAATCTGACCCTACTGTGCATGGAAGAGTATGTCATTGAACCAAAGTCTGTGCAGTTCCTGGTACAGCATGGCTTCAACTTCAACCGGCAGTACGCTCAGGGAATCCCATACCACAAGGGGAATGACAAGGTAGATCTTCAGCCTTGAGACTGCCTCTCCTGTGAATTCATTTCTTACTACTCTAGGCTGGGTACACTGGGGAGGATCTGCTTCTTAGGGAGTATGGGGACTCACCAGTGACAGAGCTGGAGAAACAAGATTGATACACTGGTGAATAGCAGTAAATTAGATGAAAGCAAGGGAGAACTTTCCAGGTAAGGATGCCTGTGACAGGTGTCCTGCAAGAGAGGTTCCCTAAGGCACTCTATCCTTCCTGATGACCCCTTTCTTTCCATATAGGGTGATGAGAGTCAGAGACAGTCAGTGAGGACACTGTTCCTGGAGTTGATCCGGGCCCGCCGGCCCCTGGTACTACACAACGGTCTGATAGACTTGGTGTTCCTCTACCAGAACTTTTATGCACACCTGCCCGAGAACTTGGGAACCTTCACTGCTGACCTGTGTGAAATGTTCCCCGCTGGCATTTATGACACCAAATATGCTGCTGAGTTTCATGCCCGCTTTCTGGCCTCCTACCTAGAATATGCCTTCCGGAAATGGTGAGGGACTGGTTGAGGGAACAGGGTGGGGCCTGGCATAAGCCTGATTATTTCATTCACTTAAGATATTCAGTGAGTGCCTACCATGGGCCAGACACTGCTTTAGTGCCGAGGGTTCAGCAGTGAACAAAACCGACAAAAATCCCTGCTGTCGTGGAGCTTACATGCTAGTGGACCCATATCCTCTTGTGATGTTGCAGTGAGCGGGAAAATGGAAAGCAGCGGGCAGCCGGCAGCCCACACCTAACCCTGGAGTTCTGTAGCTATCCTTCTAGCATGAGGGCCCATATTGACTACCGCTGCTGTGCACCACCCCCCACCTGCCGTACTCATTCCACCAACATCTGTGACAACTTCTCGGTGAGCACACCTGCCCATTTCCTGGGGAAGGGACTTTGATGCCTGGAAACCCTCTCTAAGCTTCTTTCCTACCTCTAGGCCTATGGCTGGTGCCCCGTGGGACCACAGTGTCCTCGGTCCCATGATATTGACCTTATCATTGACACCGATGAAGCTGCGGTGGAGGACAAGAGGCGACGGAGACGACGTAAGGAAAAACGGCGGAGGGCTTTGTTGGGCCTGCCTGGGAAACAGCCTTCTGGGGAAGCTGAGGACAGTCCTCCCACCAAGCAGGTCTGTAAGGACAACCTCAAGCCTGAGGAAACTGAGCAGGAGGTGGCTGAGGATGAGACTGGGACCCAACCTGGCTCTGAGCAAGGTCCCACAAATGACCTGGAGATGGAGCCTAAAGCAACAAGTGCTGAAACCACTGACATGGCCACCTCAGAAGCGCCAGAGAGGCAAGTCACAACTGACATGGTCACTTCAGAAGCCCCAGAGAGGCAGGTCACAACTGACATGGCTACTTCAGAAGCACCAGAGAGGCAAGTCACAACTGACATGGCCACCTCAGGAGCCCCAGAGAGGCAAGTCACAACTGACATGGCCACTTCAGAAGCTCCAGAGAGGCAAGTCACAACTGACATGGCCACTTCAGAAGCACCAGAGAGGCAAGTCACAACTGACATGGCCACCTCAGAAGCCCCAGAGAGTCACGTCAGTCCTAACCCAGTGCCTGGGGATGGACTGCATCGGGCTGGTTTTGATGCCTTTATGACAGGTTACGTGATGGCCTATTTGGGAGTGAGCCAAGGATCCCAGCCCTGTAGCTCTGAACCATGGCTACCTGAATGTCACAACAAGGTATACCTGAGTGGCAAAGCTGTCCCCCTCACAGTGGTTAAGAGCCAGTTCTCCCGTTCTTCCAAAGCCCACAACCAGAAGATGAAGCTGGCTTGGGGCAGCAGCTGACCCAACTTCGACAGAGCACTCAGGGCCTAGGAAGAGAAGCTAAGAGTGGATCAGAGGGGTCTGGATCCCTCTAGCCTGTGAGTGACTTAATCCCAACTACTTGGGGATAGGATGGGGTCCTGGCTGAGATACTGTTGCACTGCTTTGGCATCTCTGCCTTTACCCTAGAGGCTGAAGAACAAGGGTACAAGTAAGAAGGCTGACCAGCACCTGTAACACCGACTTTATTCATTTTTAAATCTCAAAGTGTCCTGGGAAAGTTTTACCAAAAAAAAAAAAAAACAGAAACAAGATATGAAAATAACTGACCAGCTTCATCTTTGGTTATTTCTTATTGCGGTTCTATTAGGACAGACTATTCCCATAGCTCCAGCCATAGCAAAAGGGAAGAAATCAGTCCACGTATAAACCAGTTGGGGTGTATCGTGTTGACAAATATACAGAGCAGGCCCTAGGGCCTACAAAATCAGCCCCACTCCCAACCACAGGGTTGGAAGTCTTTTAGGGCAGGACATTAAGACTCCTTCATAAATATGAAAATAGATTAATCAACTGGAAAAGATCTTTGAATAGGTTAGCTGAGAGCCACGACCACCACTCTGCCTTGCCTTGCATAGAAATGTAGTGACATGGTCTGGCCGTGCAGTAAGTGCAAACAGCAATTATTCAAGTGTCTTAGACATTCTGGCAAGAAGCACCCCAGTCTTTAGGTCTGAGAAATAGCCATGCCCTTTATGGTCTCCTGGTCAGCTCCAGGTTCCATCCATTAGCTTATATGCCCCAGGAAAGGGCAAGAAACAGACCTGGGGTAGGAGAACCTGGGGTAATAGCTGCCTGCCAGCTCACACTAGAACTAGGAGTCCTCTGGTCCTGTCGGGAAGTCTCGGGGATCCGGTGGGAGCCAGAGCTCCTTGCTGGATTTCAGAGGCTTCGTATCAGCCATTGGCCCTAACTAGGAAGGCCTCTCATGGCTGCCTCACCTCACATAGCCACTGGGCAGTGGGAGCCTCACAGATGAGTCTGGCTTGGCTTAGCCTGCGTGTTCTGTGGGCCCCCGGGAAGAGTCTAGGCTGTGTGCCAAGGGGGCCCTGTGGCTTCAGCTGAAGGTCTGTCCCCAAGGTGAGGGGGATGAACTCTGCTCACCCATCCTGCTCTCCCTGGGTCCTCAGGCCCATGCCTGAGACAGAGAAGGGGACTGGAGCCGAGTCTCTTGGCCTTTCTTCTTCTACCTCCATCTCCTCAGGGGCACCTGCAAGGCATGGACTGATGCCCTGGGGCCTGGGCCCAAAACCATTTTCTTCCTGAGGGTTGGAGCAGTCCATGGCCTCATGGGCTGGAGCAGCTGGCTGGGCAGTTGCTCGGAATGGTGCGATCTCCCTTACTCTGTACTTGTGACTGCTGAGGCGTGGTAGGGGCCCATCAGATAGTGATTCTTCCCGGCCCACAAATGGACAAGCCTCCTGATGCAAGAACTCAGGTGAACTAGGCAAAGAACGCCACCGGCGAGAAGGTGGGCCCAGGGGCTCCTGCCAGTCAGCCATAGGCATCGTTCCAGGCCCTGGTGCATCCAGGTCAAATACCAGGGAGATGACAGACTTGCTGGGCAGGTCAAAGAACTTGATCTTGCCACCTTTGAGGTCCTGGCGAGCACTAAAAGGGTTGATTTTGGGGGCTCGGGCAGCACCAACTCGTGGCTGGTAGTAGGGATCCAAGACGTTCACTGTACGTGGGGGCTTATTGGAGAAAATGTCTGACTGGCTTCGAGACAGCCAGATGGTACGTCTTGGGCGTGGGGACTTGGGAGGTATCTTGTCATCCAGTAAGCTCGGTCGCTTCACCCCAGGTCCTTTCTCCAAGAGTCCTGAAGAATAGTAAGTCAAGTCAGGGTTTCTCTCTAGTCATAACAAATAGAAGCAACATCTCGTATACAGTGTGTTACCACTTGAGAAAGCAAAAGGTAGGTACTATTGTCCCCATTTAACAATGAGAAAACAGACTCAGAAGGGAGCGCAGAGCTCCAGGACTTTTCCTGCTTCCCCTGCTTTTTTGCCTTTCTTCTGTACATGGGATCCTGTGATCACAGCCCTAGAGGGGAAGCCCCTTCGCCCCCCACCATCCTAATATCCTCCCATGGGGTCAGGTTGGACATTCTGGTTTCATCTCTTACCCTTGGCTGTGGGCTGCAGCTTCCTGTCCCTCTCCAGCTCTTCCTCCTGTAGGCGGCTCAGAATTTCCTCCAAGGTCTTCTCAATCTCCACAAAGGATGGGCGTAGTTTGGGGTCCATCTGTAGTCATCCACACCAGCCATTAGCCCTGACCTCCTATCTTCCATCCCAAGGATGGCATTTAAGTCTCTTTCTGGCATCTTTTAAGAGATGCGTATCTAAGAGATCTTTGCTGAAGGTTCCAGACCATAAGACAGCCCCAGAGTGAAGGTCAGGGAAGATGCTATTGTCTAGTACCCTCCCCTATCTCAGCAGCCTTTCTATGTCTTGTCCCCTTGTTTGGCATAGAACCCTCCAAAAGGGGGTATTCACATTGGTTGGTTCCATTCTTCGTTGAGTTCTGCAACTAACATGTTTCTGGAAGCTACCTGGACCAGTCCCAGCTACCCCTTAGTCAACCAGTAGGTGCAGCCCCAGACCTAAAGTGCTAGATCCTTTCTTATGGGCCTTGGACCAGTTGGATGCATGGTCCAACTAAAACCTGACCAAAGCTCCATCAATATCCAAGAAAAGGGGTAGTAGGTTTACACTACAAGCTGAGGACTGGATAATACAAAGCAATTTTCCTTTCCTTGGTCCAAGGCTCTGGGCCAGAGTCCGACAGGCCCGGAGGAAGAAACATAGGCACTGCCACTCATTGAGAAAGAGGTCCCTTATGAGGCTAATTAGCAGCCTCTCCCAATGGTCCTAACCAGGTGAACAGGGTTCAGGCAGCCCCAACCAAAGCCTGGGAGAAAAAGATACTCACATTACAGCAGTTGAAGGTGAGCTGCAGAAAGTCAGGGGGACAGTCTCCCACCATGTGCTGGAAAGCATCATAGTCTAGCCCGAAATTCTGTGGATGGGTATGGTGGGGAAGGAGCAGGGACATGGGTAGACAGGTCATTAACCCCTCCACCCATCCTGGCCTGCTCAGGAGAGGTGGAAAACTGCCCCAGAGAAGAAGCCACAGACTAAGTTCCAGGAACTCCACCCCAAGAAAATAAAAAATTCCAGTGGCACTGATCCCCATCATGGAGCTCACCTCTGTTCGGGGAAGATAGTCTGGATCAGCCTGGATGCGGGCGATGATCTCACAGAGGATGATACCATAAGAGAACACGTCCGCCTGGTGAGTAGTGAGATCTCAGTTTCCCTCTCAGTGGGGTAAGAGGTGGGGTTTCTGCCTCATGTTCACTAGCCCAGGCTTGGGCCCTACTGACCATGTGCTCAGTTGCTCAGTCATGTCTAACTCTTTGTGACTCTGGACTGTAGCCCGCCAGGCTCCTCTGTCCGTGGGATTTCCCAGGCAAGAATACTGGGGTGGGTTGCTATTTCCTACTCCAGGAGATCTTCCTGACCCAGGGATCAAACCCACATCTCCTGCATTTGCAGGGGGATTCTTAACCACTGAGCCATCAGGGAAGTGGAATGAAATACTGACCATATTTCATTCAGTTCATTCACCAGGCAGCTGACAGGTACCAGTGCTGATTTTGCAGGAAGGATATAGATCCTTACCCCATACGTAAAGGGTGATCCAAGACTTTTTTTGCTAAGAATGGATTCTACAGAGAATCAGGCCTTGGGGCCCCCAGACTCACCTTTTCATTGTAGGGCTCATCTCGGAGAACCTCAGGTGCCATCCAGAAGGGTGAGCCCACCACAGCTAGCTTCTCACTTCCCGTGCTGTGGGGTGAGATTGTATGGAAAATGAGCTTGCCACTGGTGGGTGCAATGGGAGATCTGACCATTGGGAATTTCTCTCCCCCAAGGATGGGCACACCAGAATTGACTGAATTTAGGGAGCTGAGATTGGGCTGTGGCCAAGTCCTAGCCTCTGAAGAGGACGCTGGAGTCCTCCCTTCGCCTCAGACCCTTCAGTGACCCCAGCCCCCGTCAGGGCTACCCACCTGACGTCAGGGATCTTCTCAGCCAGGCCAAAGTCAGCCACCACTGCAGAGTAACCGTTTTCATCCCTCTTTATCAGGCAGTTCTAGGGTTCCCAAAGAAGAAGACATCGTGGCTCAGAAGAAGGGACCAGCCAGCCACAGAGTTTCCCACCACCCCTCCCTACTACCACAGGGTACCCTGTCCTTTGCTTCTTGGTGAAATCATGCTCTTGGGCTGACCCCAGTGGGTCTCTGATAGCCATGTGAGATGAGTTAGGCCTGGATCTTGGGTGGCTGCCCTAGGATTCATACCATGCTCCAAACACAAATATTTATCTTTGTTTTCTATGTGCTAGGCAAGGTTCTAAGTATCAAAGATACCACAGTAAACAGAAACCCTTGTTCTCTTGGAGCTTACAATCTATTGGAAGAAGACAGGCTATCAGATCCTGGCCTCCCTTCATTCTTCCCTCAGAACATAGAGACTCAAAGACCAGGCCTGACCTTGCCAAGTAATGTAAGCGCAGGACAGTGCCCAAGCCTACACCAACTTTCACTGCCCACAAGATCACAACCACCTTCTCCTCTGGCATTAAAATTCCATGATCTGGCTCTGTTCTGTGATCTGAGCCCCTGGTGCCCTTTGTACATATCTTCGTCCAAACTTGTTACAGACAAGCCTGAACAGGCCCTTCAAACCTTTGCCTTTGCTCTTCCTTTCCATTTGGAATGTTCTCCTAGTTCTTTTTTCCTCAGAAAATTTAGTGTGCTTTAAGGTAAGCTTACCTTTCCAGTCATAACCTCTCCAGTTCTTACCTTCTGCTTTCTCATCTCAACTCCATTAACTCCTCTCTGCCACTTCCTCTTACAGCCTAGCAGAGAGTCCATCAGCCTCTCAGGAGCAAATTCAGGTTTGGGCCTTCCTTTCTCACAGTGTTCAATTTATGAGAGAGGTTCAAGACAAGCTTTTTGAACAAATGCTGCTGTCTCCAGAGAAAGGATGAACCCAAATGACTTTAAACATAAAGCAGCAACAAGCTCTCCCCAAATATCATTCAAAATGGACCTATACCACTCTGGCTCAGGAGACACCTCATTCTACCCCCCTTCCTCCAGGGGCAGCAGAGAGCAGGGATCCTTGGCTCACAGGGACATTTCTGGGACTGGCAAGGCCCTCTAGCCCTCCCTCTTCCTCACCTTGGCACATAGTTGCCAAGGCATTGCCAAGTCACCTGGTTACTTCACATCAGGTACAAATTATTCCCTTACTCTGGCCTTGATATGATCACACTGTGCTCTCTTTCTCTGAGCTGGAAGCAGCCTGTGATTTCATTACATCTACTGCCCTCGTTTCCTGATAGACATAACTGTCTCTGGCTTCTAAGCAGGCCTGTCCTTGTGCTTGTCCTAGCTTCAGCCCTTCCATCAGTCCCCTGGCTCAGCAATCCACCACCCCGACCCCAGCTCCCTGACTTTACAATCTATGAGAAGATGGGTTCTAAGCCAGCCTGTCTATTAGGCAGCCAAAGTCTAGGCTTTTGGGCGACTCAGATCTATTGCTTGTTTTCCTCCCCTCCTCCTCTTCTTTCATCAACAACTCAGGCTCCTTTCTCCAAGGATCAGTCTTTACAGCCCTCAGAAACAATCCTGTGAAATTCAGCTTAGGCGCAGCAGTAGGGAACAGAGCATGGCCAGTACACTGCCCTTATCAAAGCTGTTCAATTTCTGTCCCATCTTCACATTCATGAAGCCCTCTCGTACACTCACTGTAGACCAACCATCCAGGAGGAAGTGACTCACAGTAGTAGCTTCTCTGAGCTGCTGAGAGATGGCTAAGGTAAGGTTGATCAGGGCCCCACAACATGGGTGAGCCTGCCTAGCCCAGTCTGCCTCTGATCTGGAATGTGACCCCTGCCTCTCTTAAAGCTTCTTCATAGCCAGCAGCCAGGCACTGGAGCCAAAGACAAAGATGGACTACGAAAACCACAAGAGCCAACTTTAGGAGTCTGTATCTGAGGTGATAAGGAAAATGGGAAGGAACCCTGACCAGGATTAACCTGACCAGGATTAACTCCTATGGGGTTTTTCAATAAACTCCTTAGCCTGCCCTTAGTGGGGTCAAGACTAGTGAAGTCTGGCTGGCAACACTTGCTGTTTTTACTTCCTCATCTCCCACCCCTTCCTCACTGGCTTCTGCTGGAAGTGTTCTCTCTGAGGATCCCTCTGAGTCCCATGGCATTAAACTCAATAGACAAAACCAGTCCTTAATATTACTTGATTTTGCTGCTGTTGACATTGCTGATTATTTCCTTCAGCACTTTTATATATGATTCAGGAATCCTATCTGCTGGGCATGTACAGACTAAGCCATTGTGGCCCTGGAGCAAACAGACTAGCTATCAAAGGCTAATTACAGGCTATTTCTGTTGCTTCTGATCCTTCTCTCCTGGCTTCTGTGATACTATAGATTTCCTTCTCTACCTCTGGCTATTCTGAACACTCTAGGGCAGGCCCTTCCTCCCATCCCCCAAGGGTGATGTTCTCAGGGTTCTCCTAGGCCTACAGCTTGTGCTCTCTTGTGGAGACTATTCCACATGTCTTTTCTAATTACCACTTCTGTACTGATGACTCCCAAATGTATATCCTCAGCACTGACCTTTATTTCTCAATCTTCAGCTTTGCATATCCAGTCTATATCTGGATGACATCTGGATTATTTACACTGAACTCTATACATGCAAACCTGAACTCATCTTTTCCCCCCAAAACTAAATCTCTAGCTGTATTTATATGTCAGCTAGTACTGCCATTTTCCACCCAGTTTACTAAGCTAGAAACTTGGGATTCATCTAGACTTTCCACTCTTAACTCCAAATAATTTTAGCTTCTAAATGTTTTCCAATCACCCCCTCCTTTTTCATCCCCGTGACTACTGCCTTAATTCAGGTCCTCCTCTGAATACTGCAATATTCCAAATGGTCTCTGTAGCCTAGGCTAGGCTTGATCTCCGTAATCCACCTTCCTCACTTCTGCCAGCATGATCTTTGTAAAATGCAAATCTGTGTTACTCACCTACTTAAAAGCCAGCAATAATATATTGTATGATTCTATTTCTATGAAATGTCCAGATTAAGCAAAGTCATAGAAACTGAAAAAAGATTAATGGTTGCCAAAGGCTGAAGGGAGGGGAGAACAGGGCATGGGGTTTTCCTTTTGGAACGATGAGAAGATTTGAAATTAGACAGTGGTGATAACTGAATATACTAAAAACCACTGAAATGTATACTTTGAAAGGAATTTTATTTTATGTAATATCTCAAAAAAGCTGCTATTTAAAAGAAGCCAACAATGGTTCTTCATTTCCTCTCTAGAAGATAAAATCCAAGTTAGACAGTATATGATCAGACTCCTCTGCTTTCAATTCTTATCCCCTACCACTTCAGCCTCACAGTCTGCATATCATACTGTTTATGTCTCTATGCCTTTGTTTATGCCATTCATCCAATCTGATCTGGAATATAACCCCACCACACACACAATGTGGGTTGCCACGCCCTCTTCCAGGGGATCTTCCCAACCCAGGGATCAAACCCAGGTCTCGCACACCAGGGCTTCCCTGGTGGCTCAGTCAGTAAAGAATCCACCTGCAATGTGGGAGACATGGATTTCATCCTTGGATTGGGAAAATCCCCTGGAGGAGGGCATGGCAACCCACTCTAGTACTTATGCCTGGAGAATCCCCATGGACAGAGGAGCCTGGCAGGCTGCAGTCCATGGGATTACAAAGAGTCGGACATGACTAAGCAACTTAAGCACACACACACAAACTTAGTAAGTAGAATTCAACTTTCAAGATTCAGCTCAGGCATCACCTTCTCCAAGAAGTCTTCTCTGTACCCTCAGGTTGGGTTCAATATCCTTTTCCAAAGTATCCTTTGCATTCTCTTCTCTCTAACCTTAGCATTTGACCTAAGTGTCTGTTTCTGTAGTCCCTTCCTATAGCTATAGGCTGTACGCCATATGCTAAAAGATTCAGCAAAGCAGCAATATCTTAAGAGCGAAGTGCCCTCGAGAATATTTCCTAGCCCCTTGTGCAAGGGAAAGACTGTCTACTTCTCCCTGTGTGGTACCTTATGAATTAATAATAAAACACTATTCATAAACTAGTCCAAGTGATTCAAACAAACTTGTCAGGTGGGCAGATCTGAGATTTTTACATTTAAGATGAGAAAAGTGAAGCTTACAACTCTGAGTGGTAAAGATGCAGGTCTCCTGATTCTAATAGGATCCCCCCACTAATGATTCTGGCCTTTCCAGAAAAACTGGTTGAAAAGCTTTCCACTAGAGACAGCAAGGCCATGGCAGGAACAAAGTAGTCTTAAGACAGAAGCAGAGGCCCAGGTCCATGGAGAAGGCAGCACTGTTTGTGCAGGCAATACAGTAAGACCCCTTCATCTGGGATGCTAGCCCCCTCTCCAAAGCTGATTAATCCAAGGACACCTACTGTAATGCTTGCATTTCTCACCCAACTTGGACATGGCCGCAATACAGACTGACTACAGAGGAGAAAATATGAACTCAGACCACTGTGGGGTTCTGAAGAACCCAGACTAATTTTCAGGCTCTGAGGGATACAAAGTCCATTAAATCAAGCTGAAGAATGCTTTATTCAAAAGTATGCCTGGAGTAAGCAGCAGACATAAGAAAGGCCCAGTCAGACTTCCCTGAGGTGAGAGGTGACCTTTTTCTGGTTCAAAGAGGAGCCCAGGCACTGCTGCCGCCTGGCTCCCATTCCTCTTTGTCCTTACTCCTATTATAATACATCACACAGTAGCAGAGAGACTTACATGTCTGCCTCTTCAAAGGGCAGGGAATGATCCTATTCATCTCTGTATCTCTAACCTAGCAGACATACAGAAAGAACTCGGCCAAAGTTTGTCATGTGAGAGTCTGACGAATAAAGCTTCTTTCAAAAGCAAGTGGAAAGGCACACACTAATCATACATTTGACTCTCCATGATGGAGACCAAGCTGACAAGAGACTCAAGAGGTGGCCATGAACGCATTTCTGTAAGCCAGCACAAACCCTTCAGAACTGGGCCCGAGGAGACACCTGAGAGCAGATCCTGAGGTCTCCTAGAACAGCTGCACAGTCTGTACCAGCACTGAATAAAACCACCTAAACAGAGAAATGCCAGGTCCATTTGTAAGTGTTAGCTCTAAGCTAAAGCTATTTCTGTAACAACAAAAAACGGCTTTCCATGTGCCAACACCTCTCTCTCTTTACCCCCAACAATTCACTCCATAAATCCAGTTAGAAAGAAAGTACTGATTCTATGCCTCAAGAAAGATTAAAAGTTTCTTTTCACAGCACAGCAAGATCAGAGATTGAACTGCCCTCCTAAATGTCCCAGAGACAACTAGAGTCCAATTCCGAGATTATCTGGTTTGCTATAATATGTCCTGTCCCTTCCTCTCCATTCCACCATATGATCCTATACCTTCTCCATAGTTCTTGGGAAGTAATCTGCTCACATATCTGTATCTCCAACTTGACTCAGAGCCCATGGATGGTACAGATTAGGTTCCAGTAATTTCTATCTCCTCTAACAGCACAGTATAAGTGGTTCCAAAAGGCTGTTGATGGTTTTCATTATAAAAAATGACTACAAAGTGCCCTAACACACACTCTCTACATCCGCCAGCATTCAACTGTTTCTAATTCATGTTCTCTCCAGTCTCTGAAACTGCTGTCTTGAGTTTGATGTGTGACACAGGGAACCCAAAGCCAGTGCTCTGTGAAAATCTAGATGAGTGGGATGGGGAGGGAGCTGGGAGAGGCATTCAAGAGGGAGGGGACATATGTATACCTAATGCCAATGCATGTTGATGTATGGCAAAAACCATCATAATATTGTAATTATCCTCTAATTTAAATATATATATATGTATATATATATATTTTAAAACAAATAAAGAAGCCCTCCTTAGCTGCCCCTTAAGAGCAAGGCTCACATACAATTGTATCAACCATTTCTAGCCTGCATGTGGCTGTTGCCACTTCTTGATGGAGCTCAAGAACTGAATGTTTTTAAAGCTACACAACCTCCCATTTCCTTCTAAGTAATCAGTATTCAGTTCAGTTCAGTTCAGTTCAGTCGCTCAGTCGTGTCTGACTCTTTGTGACCCCATGAATCGCAGCACGCCAGGCCTCCCTGTTCATCACCAACTGCCAGAGTTTACTCAAACTCATGTCCATCGAGTCGGTGATGCCATCCAGCCATCTCACCCTCTGTCGTCCCCTTCTCCTCCTGTCCCCAATCCCTCCCAGCATCAGGGCCTTTTCCAATGAGTCAACTCTTTGCATGAGGTGGCCAAAATATTGGAGTTTCAGCTTCAGCATCAGTCCTTCCAATGAACACCCAGGACTGATCTCCTTTAGGATGGACTGGTTGAATCAGCATTGCCACTGCACAAACCTAAATCAGCCTGTTTCTTAGAAGTAGTTACAAAATTGAACAGCTGTATCTGACGGACTTTTCATTCTTGAAAACAGTGTTGCAGTAACCACTGATGTGTGAATTCTACAAAGGCAATAATACTACTTTCAGTAGGCACTCTGGAAACTAGGATCTTCTCTGCCACTACTCTAGGCCCAGCATCATTTGGAAAGTGGCATATGCTTCTCTCTGTCCTGATTTACCCACCTGAAACACACTCCCACTACTTTAAATCCCTCTTATTAGCTCTGGTCTGAGATGCCAGGGCTGATGTCAATAGCCTAGGGACACTAAGGGCCCAAGAACACTGAAGTCATTTAAAGAGGTGAAATAAAACTGGATCTGGGACTCAGAATCTCAGTTCTCAAGCAGATGTTCTGGCCTCCATGCCGTCAAGCACATATTCTGAAAGAGGGCCAGGAAGCCTCTACTCTGACAGGCTCTATGTTAGGTGCTAGGGGTAAAAAGGTGAATAAGAGCAGCACTTGAGAAACTCATGTGTTGGTGGGAGACACAGACACAGTATAACCATCAAATAACTGGATGTGTACACACTAATATATAAGTAAACCTTTTATTGCACTTAAAGAAATCAAACTCAGACCCAAGGCTGACAATGAGGAGATAAATTGGAAATTTCAAAGCCCTACTCTGTCCCTTTAGCGTTATTTTTCCCTTAGGCTTCTCATTCTTAGGGTCACTGTCACCACCACACAGGTCTCCTGGGTGGGACTGCTCTGGTCTAGGTGTGAACATACAACCTCTCCTTAATCTCTGCAACATTGTGAAGTTGAAACATTTGGATAAAAGGGCAATAAATACAGTCTCTCAAACTGGATGGCCTGGCTTATAAAATTTGCTTGTTTTTCTTCAACTTGAGATTCCCTAAAGTGTAGTTCCTAGCCTGTCTCCCGGTTGCAAAGTCATTTGTTCTCACCACCCCCTAAAGTTCAGACCCAAGAAAGTACACCCAATAATACCAGAGAATTCTTTCTCCTAAATTCCTAGTTTCTCATCTCAAACCAGCTGACATGGGAACACCCACTATCAACTAGGAAAACCAAAGGACAGTGGTCTTACCCTAAAGAGCCAAAAAGGGTAGTCATTTTTACAATACATACAATATGACAATCCCAGACAGAACCACACTAGCACAATGGGATAAAATATTTTGGGGGCACAGAATGGAATATGAAGAGTTCCTCCAGAAAACCTAGGAACCCTAGTCTACTGATTTTTTTTCCACTGAAAACCCATAGTCTATAGCTAAACACTCAATTATAAAATGCTATGAACTCTTCTTCAATTATTTGCCAACAGACTATCTCTGGTCAGAAATTATCTTTCTTGAATATTCCTCCATGCATGGTGCCAGGCACAGAAGACACCCATGTGGGTATGTAGGAAATATCTGTGTGATTGACAGATAACTGGTCATGACCTCCCTCCATGTTAGAAGACATGATGCTCTCTGAGTAGGAAGCAACAATTTGATTTTAATTGCATGCCCAAGGTAAGCCATCAACTTAAGACAGTATCTAAGTTGATACAACCCCACCCATCTGCCAGGAACAGGTGCAGTTTTCTAAGTCTTGACTTTCTAAAACATTCTAAGGAAGAAGAGGCTGATGAAGGGATAAGATACCACCATCCAATTCCCAGCTGTTTAGCTCTTGCTTATACCAATGAAGATAAAGGACTTCTCACAACTAGGTCTCAGCTGGTCACCAGATTCCACCAATCTTAAGGTTTCTTCAGTAACAGTGCAGCTGACTACAAATGGCACTGCCACACCTCGAGCCCTATCAGCACTACTGAAAGCTATTTTCTGTGTAGTAGTCACAAACCAATGGCCAGGGTCCCTTGGGGACAGTACTGCTGTTTAGAACACTAGAACCATTCTAATGGGTGGTAGCCAGGGACTCACTGCTCTAGGTCTATTGGCTCTGAGAGCACAGCCTGCTTTTGTTCCCTTTGCAAACTTTTTCCTATAACTGGTTTCCTTACCCCCTCATCCATGACAGAAGAGCTGCCTGAATATGTATATGCATGTATGTACATGTGCATATGCATGTATTGAGGGTGCAGAATGAAGTGACCGCTATTCTTGGACAGGTATAAAACTTCCATACACCTCCCCTGCATTCATGTGTGTGCGCTCAGTTGCTCAGTTGTGTCCAACTCTTTGTGACCCCATGGACTGTAGCCCATCAGGCTCCTCTGTCCATGGGATTTTCCAAGCAAAAATGTTGGAGTAGGTTGCCATGTCCTCCTCTAGGGGATCTCCCCAACCCAGGGATCGAACCCATGTCTCCCGCATCTCCTACATTGGCCGGCGGATTCTTTACCACTGAGTCACCTGGGAAGCCTCATATACCTCCCTAGGAGACTTTTAAATCAGCTTCTGAACACAAGTTATATTAGATGATTTATAGTTCCCATATGAATGGTCAAACAGTACTATTTTTTAAAAAATTTTTATTGGAGTATAGTTTATTTACAATGTTATGTTACTTTCTGCTGTACAGCAAACTGAATCAGTTTTTATATATATATAAATATATATATATATATATATATATATATATATATATCTCCACTCTTTTTTAGATTCTGTTCCCATATGGGTCATTATGGAGTATTTAGTAGAATCACTGTGCTATATAGTAAGTCCTTATTGGTTATCTATTTTTTATATATAGTAGTACAAACAGTACTATTTATATAAGCCTTGTCATGTGGTATCCTGTGCTACTTGGCCCTGAGGTGTCTGCCTTGTAGTATAGCCAACTTCCTCTAAAAGCAACTCTTTTCTAATCACAGCACATTTGGATAGTGAGAGAATACTACAGAGACCAGCTGATGCCAAAGAGGAACTGGCGGGATGGCAGAAACTCAATCACACAGAAAGAAAATGGGTCAGTACATTATGGCCTCCAAAACCTGTACTCAAGTGACTAAAAATCACAGAACCCCTGCTGGAGACCATGGGAGAGAATACAGAGAGGCAGGTTCCTACACGGCCTTGACTACTGTCACCCCTAAAGGGCAAGAATCTCTTATGTGTTCTCATGCCATCTATTCCTGGAACACACGTTCAGTAGCGAGTAAAACTAAGAATAAAGGTTCTCAAGATGTATGTGCTGATGGACTCAGCAATGAAAGGAACCTGCTATAAGCCAAGATTGGCTTTCTAAGGACTAGCTATACACAGTAATAAGCTGTATCTTCTATGATTAAATGTTGAATTTATAAGAGATCTCCAACATTCTGAAGCTCATTAATGACTGGTTTCTTAACGCAGTTTTCTTGGTAAATGGAAGATAGTGTCTCAAAGAGTTGTGCAAGTAAAGCCTTCGTACCTTAGAGGTGAGGTCCCGATGGAAAATGCCTTTGAAGTGAAGGTAGCTGAGGCCCACTGCTATGTCATAAGCCAGTTTCACCCTCACAGTCCAGGGCAAATGCAGGTTACTGTCTAGCAACTGTTCCAGGTTTCCAGAGTTGATATACTGCAAAACAGAAGGAAAAGCCAGCTACCATTTGTCAGCAACGTCTAGGGTGGGAGTAAAACTACTAGAGGGTAAACACCTAGAAGACAGAGACTGTATTTTTTTTTTTTTTAAGTTACTGAGCAGTTATTCTGCATCCAGGCACTATGGCAGATGCTGTACCTTCCTTTGAGATCACAATCTATTAAGGGATATAGACAAACAATATCATGTAGTAAATGCTAAAAGATAGCTTTGTACAGTATGACAGCACAAAGAGTAAAGGTACAGACTCAATCTAGGCGTGTCAGAGAAAGCTGCACAAAGGAACCGAGGAGTTCAAAGGATGACTTGGGGGAGCAGGAAAGAAAGTCCACACAGAGGGAGCAGCAGACATAAAGTTATAGGTTAAGAACATGGTGTATTCAGGAAACTAATTTACTCAGTATGGCCAGAGTGCATGAGAGGTGAGGCTGATACTCTTTGCTAAAGTATATGGGCTTTATCCTGTCTATAGGGAACAAAAGAAGCCTTTTAAGCCAAAGAGCAACGTGTTCATATTTGCTTTTTTAAGGAAAAGATTATTTCAGCAATGGTATGATGGATGGATTAAAGTGGAGAATATGGAGAAGGGAAAATAGGTTAGGAAATTACTGCAGTAATCCTGATGAAGGAAGAATGCCTGAGTTGAGGCAATAGTGGAAGCATTGGAACAGAGCAAGAGTCAAGATTTTAGATGGCAAAGTCAAAAAAACTTGATGAACGCCTTGATGAGGAGGATGAGAACAGTGAAAAGCTCCTAGCTTGATTGCAGGCTATTGGCCCCTGTGTGCCATTATTAAATATCCAGAATATAGGGAGAGGAGGTTTTTAGAAGAGGCAATGTTAAAAGACAGGGAGTTCAACTAAGACATGCTAGGCTTAAGGGCATGTGGAGATGCCCTATACCAAGTCAGTTTGAAGTTGAGGAGCAAAGTCTGGGCTAGAGACTAACATTTAGGAGGCAATGACATTGAGCTGAAGTAGTCACTGAGGCTAAGGAATGTATGGGATTGCCCAGGGGTTAACATGTAAAGTGGGAAATTAACAGAATCGCAAACAACTGGAACATTTACAGAAGCAGGCAGAGGAAGAATCACCAAGCAAGAATGTCACCACAGAAAGAAGGAGAACATTCCAAAAGAGAAAATGACCAAAAGTATCAAAATGCTACAGATAAAGTAAGATGAGCCTGAAAAGTGTCCACTGAATTTGCCTCTAAGAAGTCACCGGCGGGACTTCCCTGGTGGTCCAGTAGTTAAGAATCTGCCTTCCACTGCAAGGGATGAGGGCTTAATCCCTGGTCTGGGAGCTGAAAATCCCACACGCTGTGCCTCAGCTGCTGAACCCACACCCTGGAGCCCATGGGACACAACCAGAGAGAAGCCCACGCGTCACAACAGATGATGCTGCGTGCCGCAAGACCCAATGCAGCCAGATAAATAAATAAGAAGTCACTGGCAACCATGGCCAGAGCAGTTTCAGTAAAGTGGTTAAAACCAGAATAAGACCAAAGTGCACTGAGAAGTGAGTAGGAGACAAGGCTAAGTGGAAACTACATGAAGATGTACTCATTCAAGAAATCTGGCTGTCTGTCATTCCTACATACCCACAAACAACTGTTTTGTTTTTTTTTTAAAGAGCAAATAAGTCTATTCATACAGAGATAATAATAATAACAACAATAGCAGTGGCAGCTAGTATTTATTTAGTTGGTGCTTACTTTGTGCCAGGCACTACTCTGAGGACTTACCATTAATTACATCATTTAATCTTCACAAAACCCTAAGGTAAGTGTACTATTATTCTTATTTTACAAGAGGTATTTGGAGGTTTAGCAACTTGCTCAAGGTTACCCACTTATTAAGCAGCAGAGCCAGGGTTCAAACTCAGGCAGTCTGGCTCCAGAGTTCACACTCTACCCCTATATTAAATTGGACAGTTAGAGGCTGTGGCACCTGGGCCAGGGAGCCTCATGCAGAACAGGAGCTCAAAAATTTTCACTAATTAAATTCATGAATTTACTCAAATGTCACATGATGTATTATTTCCCTCCTCCTTCCAAGGAAGAAAAAGGGGCAAATTCCTCTAAGCCTAAAAATAAGCACTTCTTATCTTTTCGGAGTGGGGGGGTGATATTGGATTTACAAAAGACTAGGGAACCTAATGGGAGAGAAGATAAGAAAACTGAATTTTAGTCCAATTCTGCCTCTTAACAGCATTTTACTTTGGACAAATCGACTAATGAGGCTTTCCTTCTGTTTTTCCATCTATACAATAGGTATGATAATCCATGATCCATATACCTCATGATGTTATTATAAGAATTGAATACAAATACATGAAAGTGCTAAGAAAAAAATAGAAGTTTCATATAATCTTAGATTCTCTGACGTGGTAACATGAGTACCAAAAAGAACCAGTTGGGGGCAGCATGAGGCAGCATTTCAGATCCTTGGATGAAGTAGATCAGGTTTGGCAAGGCAGAGAGAATGGCTAAAAATACGCCAAATTTCTCAAAAGGGAAACCTGTTGATCTGCTTCATCTTGTTTGACAATCCATCTTTGGAAATCTCAAAACAAAGCATAATGACGGCATTAGCATAGCACCTTAGTCTCTTCACTCCAGTTGAATTTGTTCACGGTTCACATCTGAGATGCCCATTTGCTAAAAGGAAAGTGAACTTGCAAATTCCAAGCTATAGAGGGGCAATGAAGCTAACAGCTAATCATGTAGACAAATTTCTCTAGCTCTGAGAGTAAAAAAGGTATGACAAGGTTGTAATCCACTTCTTTGGCACCATGACAGTGTGACATGGAAGGCCTGACTTCAGGAGCCACTCAGGTTTCCCACTGAGGGCCAGGCAGAAAAGGCTGGTAAAAAGCCTGTATGTGTACTCTCTGTGGGCCAGGGTAAGCCAGGACTCTTGATTCAGACAAACGCATGTTTATTCTGTCCCTCCATGTCTCTGAAAGTCTGAGAAATCCACAGACCAAGCCATAGGGTGGGGAACAGAGGAGAGAGGTGAGACAAGGTGAGGAATCACACTGGCTATTAGGCTCTGACTTTTCAGACAAGGTGGAAAAAAAGCACAAACCCAGGACCAGAGAGGGAAACCAAAAGGAGTTTATAACCATTTCTCTTGCCTGCCTTCAGTGAATCCTTTGGTGGGGCTGATAAGCCTCTGGGGCTCTCAGAAACCACAACGTCTCAATGTCTCAAGACCTTTGCATGTATGAGGAAAGGAAGTTAGAGATCTGCCAACAAGGAAGATTTCTAAGTTGCTACACACTCTGTGTGCCCATTAGTCGGAACGTCCACTTCCCCATAAGCAACACCGTGTGCAGACTCAGCTGGTGTGTGCTCTGAACAAATCCCTCTGTGGGAAGCAGAGGCAAGAACAACTGTCCCCACACATTCAGCTTTCTGGGCTGGGGATAACAGCTGCTTTGCTTTCATTTTCTTCCAGACCACTCCCTTGCGAGCTCCACAAAACCACGGTAGGCATTGACAACACATTTAAATATCTACCTGAGAGAGAAGATTTTATAATTTTTATTGTTACTCTTTTTAACTTTCAAGTTCAGAAAACTATAATATCAGCCAATCAAATGTGTCAGAGGGACTTAATACCTCCAAGTGACTGTTCCCCAAGTTCACCTACACCAAAACCTGCTTCTCCTACTCATGGTTTAATAAAATGTTAAGAGCTTCTGCCATTTCATTTGTGTGATATTTGATTTCATTAAAGACTTGTTTCTTAAAAGGCACTGAATAGACAAATATGTGTTGGTGACTTAACAATATTACTATGTATGTAAAAAATCATATGCCAACACTCTAGAAAATTATCAAAGGAACAGGTAAGCACACACTCAATTCGCCACTCAGGAATATCAGCTTATTTCTCCAAATACTTATTGAGCACTCCTCCCCTTCCTGCTGCTGCTGCTGGTAAGTCACTTCAGTTGTGTCCAACTCTGTGCGACCTCATAGATGGCAGCCCACCAGGTTCTGCCATCCCTGGGATTCTCCAGGCAAGAACACTTGAGTGGGTTGCCATTTCCTTCTCCAATGCATGAAAGTGAAAAGTGAAAGTGAAGTCGCTCAGTCGTGTCCGACTCTTCACGACCCCATGGACTGCAGCCTACCAGGCTCCACCACCCATGGGATTTTCCAGGCAAGAGTACTGGAGTGGGGTGCCAGTGCCTTCTCCGCCTCCCCTTCTTACCACCCCCATATGAGAGTAAGAACTTGTCCATTTACATCAACATTATATCCCCCAGTGATTACAAGAGTCCCATCCACATAGTAAATGTGGGTATATAAATAGTTTATATCGTAAAGAAGTTCATGAAAGACACATTGGTAAATAAATAATACTAATAACCTTTTAGCAGAGGTAAATACTTGGGGTATAAAAGTAGATATTGAGGAGTTTGGAAAGTTTCAGAGAAAATATCCGAGTTGGATCCTAAAAGGCTGAGAATGGCTCTTTCCATCTATGCCCTATAGAGTCTGATGGTACCACTCAGACACAGAGAGACACATAAACTTGTTCATACAAAGAATATTCTAGAGCAGAACTAGGCAATACTTACCTCTCCCTGAGGTAACATGCACTACACCCAGGACTCGTATTCTCGATTCCTGCTGATTCTAATCATAACCTCATCCAATCATAACCAGTCAGAAGAATAAGAAAAAATGGTTACCTTCTCTTAACTCTAAATTATCAAAGTAGTGATATCTATAATCAAACAAACTTATCTATGAACAGTAGTTCAAAGGCATATTCAGAGAGGTACTAGAGAAAATATCAACTCTAAGAATTATTATTCCTTTGTGAAAAATCTACCCAAATAGCCTAGAGCTAGGGCACTTACCTAAGGCAGGTGAATGTGCTGCCATTCCACTAACAGACATCATTTGCTGCCACCTAATTAGCGGGGTTGTCCCGAGGAAGATCCAGCCACCTCTA